TAAAGTTCACACATCTGCAGTCCTTTATTGTACGTAAAGTATACAAACAGAAAAACACAGTTCTCAAGGCCTGACATGCTTCCTCATAGAAAAATCTTTTCTCACAAATAAAACCGGCATGCCATAAACCATTTTAAACACTTCTTTACACAAATAATCATCATAAAGTACTTTTAAATTATTCTTTAATATGCTTTAGATACTTTTATCCTTTCATTGTAGAGGCAATGCAACTGAAAGAGAAATCACAGCGAACACTGCTAAAAACACTGGTAGCATATAATGTAAAATAAAGGTTCTTTTGTTCATTTTTTTGTAGAAAATGACTGATCTTACATGTCAAAATGACACATCCAACATCTCAAACATGTGACACACACTGCTACAAAAATATGTATAGCACCAAATTAAAGCTGAACATAGGATTGATCATAAATAATAGAATCAAATCAAATGAAGTGAAACAAACAGATTGAATCTCTTTTTTTTTCTCAGCGATAAATACTGAATCACCTAAACCCCCAAACTACCTGACAAAGTCCACATTTTAGACTGATGCGTTTGCGGCAGAACGTTTTCGGAGATGTCCTCTGAAGGAACCGAACTTCAGATCTCCAGGCTGGAAACAGTCTGAAGTTGGTAAAAGTGCCATCGAAGTTACATGAGTTCACAATCTGCTCTTCTTTCTGCGTTGGGTTTCATTTTGTAAATTGCATCAGAGTGGAAACCCTTTCTGCACACACAGTTGCAGTGAAACACTGGATTGCATACGTGATAGAGGCTTAATAGTAGCAGACCTTAATGTCGTAAAAGGTGCATGAAATCATTTAAACAGCCACGTCCCAAATGTGGACCATCAATCTGTCCCAAATTACAGTTAAGGGGCAAATATAATAATATTTTCACGACCGAAACCCATAAATATTGAAAGCATGAGACATGAATAAATCATAATCATTTCTTTTCAAATTAGACAAGTCATTTTAAAAACACCCACAGACAACAAATAACACAGGAAGTGAAGATGACCATGAGTGATGACATGTCATGTGGAGCTGCAGTCTCTTCTGGCCTTGTAGATAAAACTGGGACTGTTTTAATAAACAGCCTAAAAGCAGCAGCTCATTGCAGCGAGACATCAAAAGATGGAGTGAGGGTCCAAGCTTTCCCTGGTTGTGCATTTTTCACATGTATCCATAAAAAGTCTCTTGAGTTGGTCCAAAACTCAGCAGCAAGACTCTTAATTAGAAGCAGCAGAAGCACCAGCATCACTCCTCAGTGTGTGTAACAACTAGCATCACTCCTCGGTGTGTGTAACAACCAGCATCACTCCTCCCAGGCCCTCAGGTTCTCAAACACAAAACTCAACAAGAGCTCAGCTGCCTCATTGTTGCACCTCCACTATGGAAAAAGCTTCCTTATTTTGCACATAAGGTTGAAAGCCTTAACTTATTATAAAGACATTTTTCCTTCTTTTTTGTAAGAATTGTTCACATTTTATTGCACTAACTTTGCTTTCTGTCTTTTGTTCCGGTGTTATTTTGGTTCTGTGTGTGTGCTGTTTTTCACAATTGGGTAAACTTCGTAAGAATCTATTATCATTTTGTACACATGCAGTTATCAGCTTAAAACCTGTAAAATAAGAACTGAAGGTTCAAACTTTTACAACCAGGGAAAAACAAAAGTGTTTGATTACATGTCTGTTCAGAGACAGCAGGTTCAGCTACAGCATGCGGTGAGGTAGAAATGGAGAAAAGATCGCTAACACCTTTGACTCAGTTATTTATAGTTTTGATCTCTTATTAAGACAAAAGCATTGGAAAGATTTTTCCAGCATGTTAATCTAAGGCCAGATTAAATTGCATTTTTATATTTAAACTTTGATAATACAAATGGATTAGATTTGAGTGGTTCAGGAAACCCAGGTTGCCTTTCAGGTCATCTGGACATCCTGGCTTATTTCATGATGCTCCGTGGGTTTGCTGTGAGGACACCAGGGATCACAGTGATGCTACCGTAACGCAGCTACAGAAACGTTTGGCAGTGTATACAAGCGCTAAATCCTCCTTATAAATAAAACTAGCTTCTCCAGAAAGCTTTCCAGCAGGAGCTTTATGCTGACAAGCTTTATCAATGTAAACCACAGACTTTGGACGTCATGAAGCTCAGAGGACCAACACTAACAGTTGATTTGGGATCCAAATGATCACCCACAGAGGAATCTTCACGCCGGACTGAAACTCTTCCTACACCTCAAAGACTTTTCTTCGGAGTGTTTTCCCAGGAGTTTTCTGACATTGTCTTTTGTTGAAAACTGATCTAACAAGTCCTGGCTGGAAATGCCATGTCTTGGATAAGTCTGTGTAAGTTAGGGTGTGAAGCTCACTAACTGTTCTAATGGTTTTACCACACATTGTCCTACCACCTAACTTTCCATCACTGTAGTTATATAGATAAAACTCTCGTCACAGCTCACCCAGGGCTTACTCCTAGTGTCAGGAGCTCTCTGCTGGTCAAATCAGTATTTTTTTACCACGGCAATTACCATGAAATGACTCGTCTGTATTCAACTTTCAAAAATGTTCCTATTTGTGATTAATCTATATGACTTTAATTTTCTTTCAACCAACTTTAATAAACAACTGAACTTTTTCAGAACATTTCTATAGCTTGAGAAACATGGAATAAATAAGAACCCAGATGCTGTCTGTAATATGCAAATGGAAGGTTTTTTTCTGGTGTAGTTTGATAAGCCCGATAACATTTTGTCTTATATCTGCAGTATTATGCAAAATTTGATTAGACTTCTTTAGTTTCCATTGACAAATAAATCAACACGGCCGTCATAAACTGGTGCAACGATGGTCGAACAAACAATTATGCACATATGAAGATATTTGTTGTGGTTTTCTGAGGCGTGTTCTGGGTCCACGCTGGGTGAGAGGTGAACTCAGACTGAACCTCCCTGTCAATGTCACCGCAATGTCGAAAAACAGCCCGTAACCAAGGCAACAAAGTGATCCATCATTTCTAACAGCCTGCAAGAGGCAACAAATTGGTTTGAAAATGATATGGAGAAGTTGGGGAGGGGGCAATAATCTTGTTAGATGCCATCTCTGTTGACAAAGCCTGCATCCCAAAGAGGGAAAAAAAGCTTTAAATCTTTGGTGTCATCTTCCTTCAGCAAGCTTTCCGGATGTTAACAAATAATGGAGCTGTAATGGATGAATAATACGTCAAAATCACCCGGCTTGTGCTTAAGGCTGGATCATCTATGTGTGTGTGTGCGGAGGAGGGGGGGGCAGTGAGCTAAAAGCTATTTGCCAAGCTCTGGGAGTTAGCGAGCTGCCTCACCCGCTCCTAATATCCTCATAAGCAGCCGAGGCTGACCTCACTTAATGAGGATTAATGCAGGATCAGATTGGAGTTTGTGCCTATTGAGACGCACTTCTGTGTGCCCACTCCCACCTGCTCGTAATTGATTGCACTCATTGAGGGTCAGTGTCCCTGTGCAACCTCTGTGAACATGTGTTAAATGCTGCTTGTATGAAAAAAAAGATTTGGTTTGGAGAGAGACGGATAGAGAGACGGATCGAGAGACGGATAGAGAGAGAAACAGAGAAACAGAGAGAAACAGAGAGGGAAGATGGGTAATGAGAAGAGCAGGGATGTGCAGGTCATGTGAGCCCTGGAGAGCGGGAAGTAATGGAATATTGAACTTTATTTTGACGGGTACCACTGCCTCTGCGCAGATGTATCAGATCTATGTTTATCATTATGTTGCTATGGGCAACCAAAAATGATTAAAATCAGCAGGTTAGTTGAATGTCCTTGAATTTTCAGACAAAAACTCTGTTTTCTGATGCTGCCATGTCATTTCTGAGTCTAGTCGTTATGATCTGTTTGTAGTAATAATGTCATTTTATGGTTTAGTTGCTGTGAACTCAGACTACCTCACTGATTGTTTACATCAAACCCTTCAACACCAAAAAAATATATATCTAGAGCAGCATAAAACAATTAAACCTGCCTCTCATTAGGCAAAGGTTTCTGCAGAATGTGGAAATATTTGACTCATCGCTCACAGCCATAAACACGACGTTTCCCCGGGTTTGCAGCTTGTTGTTGTCTCTGCTTTCTCAGAGGAGATGTTCCACATCCTGACTTTCCTCTCTTACATCTAAATATAAACTTTAACGGCTGCTGCGCAAAATCAAGATTAAAAAAAAAGAAGACGTCACCGAGACAAATTATCAATGCTTGGAAATGGTTCAAGTGTTTTTTTTTTTTTTTGTTGTGTCCAGTGGAATGTATATCAGAGCCAGTCATTGTCTAGGAATGGGGAAGCGGGTTTAGCGGCTTGGTGGGCGTAGAGGAGACTGTCTCACTAGGGGCCAATAGTCATACTGGCCCCTCGGTCAAGCCCTCCATGGGCAGGGTGGTGGCGTTGTCGACGGGCTGCGGGTCATCCTGGGCCGGGGGGGGCGCCCTGCTGGCTGCAGCCAGGCTGGCAGCAGCCAGGCTGGCGTAAGGCAGGTGGCAGTCCATGTGCAGGAAGGGGGGGTAGTGCTGGCGGTAGCTGATGTAAGCAAACAGCAACCCGATCACTCCTCCCACAAAGGCATCTGGAAAGTCACACAAACACGTTTTAATGATACGGTTCTCAAACTCTGGTGCAGGGACCTCTGGTGGGGCCTTCAGAAATACTGGTTTCATGTGGGAGGTGATTACAAACACATTAGGTGTGCTGAACATCAACAGACTCTAAAATTAGAATCCAGATCTGGGAATTAAATGAACCGATCTTAACTGTGTTTGGGTGTGAAAACCTGAGGAATTTCTTAATGGCCGTTCTCTCTTTTCAGGCTAACAAGTGTTGGAATTACAAGCTAATAACAATGTTCAATGACCAGCCACATTATTAGGTACATCGGTCCAAAAGCTTGTTTACACAAAGAGCAAATCAGACAATTTACATGGCAGCAATACAATCAAGGTTTCAGGTTCGGGCAAAACCAAAATGGAAAACTGCTACCTGGTTTAATGACTTTTGATTCCAGTAGTCAGATTCAGAAGAAAGGGTCAATATTTGAAGTAAAGCTCCCTTGTGCCAAATACTCCTGCAGCTGAAATGATGTGAAAATATTTTTTTGGCAACCTTTTAGGCCCCAACTGTAAAATTTTCAAAGCCTGGTTTTTACCATCTCTGGCCACTTAGTACCCATGTGATGATGACAGCAGGATAATTCACCACATTACAAAACCTCCGTCAGCTCACAGTGGCTTCATGACCATCACAGAGGATTCACTGTATTCTGTTTCTTACAGCTTGTTGAGTATATTATTCAGTGACTATTTATTTGCACTCACACAGAAATAAATACAGGTGAAACAAAAATGTATCATTTTTTCACAATATTCACTAAAAGTAATAATTTCTCCTTGATATTCTCCTATTGTCATATACTTATTTTTCAATATTAAATGTTTTCTTTTGCCATTTTGAATTATTTTTCCCACCAGAAACACTGATGAGAAACATCCACAGAAAGTGAGAACAAATGCCTCAACATTGAGCTGAACAGCAGTCTGCACTGGAGACTGAAGAGAAGGGACGGAGCAGAATGTGCTTCTTCAGTCCTTCAGCGTTTGCTGCAACTTGCTGCATGTCTTCAATCAGAGGCAACAGGAGCTGCAGCTCCATTACAGAAATACTCAAAACTTTGTCAAATGTTCCGCTAATCTCATAAAACACAATTTTGCAATTAAAATCACATGTGAATAAGTTTGTTCACACAATAAGTCGTTAAAAACATGCTGTACCATCGTCCTCCTAGAACTTCCTGTCATCTTTTTCTTTGTGGTTTATGCCATGTGACTCTTGCAATGCAAAATAAGACTTTCACTGCAATTCTGATAAATCAGCTGATTTAAAAAAAATCACTACAATTGCAATTATTCAAGTATTTTTCCATTAAATTGAGGATTAACTGCAGAAACAGTTGTAGTAAAGCAGAAACTTGATGGGATTTTGTGTTTTCGTTCTATTCAGGAGCTTCATTATGACAAAAATGAACCAGTTCAAGAAGCATCTGCTGACCTGACGCCACCATGCAAAGCAGCCATGTTGGAGTGTCAGGATATTATATAAAATCTCCAACTCTTGTCCAAAACCCCATCTCTTGTATTTTTAACTAAGTGAAAAATTCTTTATCTTGTTTTGCCAGTATGCCTGTATGCATGGTGCGACTAAACGCAGCATTAACTGGAGTGATACCTGTTTGAAGGGATTCCCTTTCCCCCCTGTAGGAATGTGGTGATAAATAACACCTGCTGTCGTGGAACAGCTCAGTTAATTAGGCATTGCTGTATGGGCTGCAATGTTTCAGTGGACATTCATCACCGCTGCCGAGTTTAGAGGTTGATGAAAGCAACATGAAAGGCAGAGCCATGAATCGTTGCGCCGGCTCTCTCACCTCGGGCCGGGCCATCGCTGGTACTCTGTCAGAGGCTGAACAGGTTGGTATCACAGCTGACCCCATTTTAACTATCATACATCATAAAATATAGCACTGCTGTAATGAATACTAAGCAGGTATTGCCGAAGATAGATCAAACTTGAATTAAACTTCCCTAATATTTGCACTGTAAAACAGAAGTTGAATGAAACATGAAATTGCATCAACTTCCAGGAAAAGGATGTGCAGAGCGGATGAGCCGGTGGTCTGGACCATCTTCTGATTCCTGTCAACTGAATTTACCAGGCTGTGACTTGATTTAATAGATTAGTTTAGTGATGGTGAGAGTATTAATATTCATCAAGCACAGTGTAGCATCTGGACTAATGGGAGCTCCCAGCTTGTGTTTACACTGGCAGCAGATTGGGGACCCTCAAATTTAATGGACTGCTCTATTGCAGCTCACTTCCAGCCGACGGAGTGCGAGCAGGAGGGGATGGTAGATCCAGGGAGGATTCAGAAAATGATGGGCTTTCTTGTAAATGCTGCAATTGTGTTGTCTTGGTTATGAATAAATAAAGGCAGGTTGTAAAAAGAGCTGTTGGGTTTGCTGCCAAGAACATATGGCTTTCTAAAACTAATTAACACAATGTGATGGTGCTGTCATCATGTTATTTCCTTTCTATCTGAAAACCACACACTTGTGCAATTCTCGCTCCCAGTCCCCCTCAGGTCATTCTTTTAGTTTTCCAGAAGACATATTTAAAAAATGTAACACTTTAAAACTTGTTCAGTTTTGTGAGGATTCCTCCTCATGTCACATTCTTTGGGTTTGGATTATTTTCTTGTTTATTTTTTTATGTCTCACCTATGTTGGCAGTAATGTGTTGACATTGGAGTTTTTTTAATGTACTTTGTTTCTTAGATAATTGTCCTGTTTGGATCTTTTTCCTGTTACTCTCTGTTCCGTTGCTTCACTTTTGTTCCCTTCCTCTCATTTGGTAGTTTCTCAGAGTTTTATGTCAGTTCTTTAATGTTAATTATTCATCATTCTTCACCTTGTCGGTTTGCTCCCTCCCACAGCTTTTCCCAATCATCACCTGCATCTGATGTTCTTCTCCTGTCATTTTTAAGTCCACAGGTTCTCAATGTTCTGGTTTCGCTGTCCTCTCCTCCCTTTACAAGTTGCTCTGTCGTTCTGTCCCTTCCAAAATCTGTGACCTTGTTTTTCACAAAAACCCTCACCTATAACACATCCATAAAAATCCAAACTTTAATCTTAATAGGAATTTGATTTTCTGAGTGACGCAATTTCTTATTTGCATCATTACTCATCACTAAGCAAACTAACTCTAAAAAAAGATGCTTAAAATCACTCTGTAATAAATCTAATTGCTGATATAATTTTAAATAACAATCCTGCTTACAGCGCTGTGGCTGCAGATACTGTAAAGTCTAAGCACAGACATTATAATGGGTGAAGGTAAAATGAAAGCCGTGTTGTTGGCTTCACCTTGCCAGTGGTGTTTGTAGTCACACGTCCTGGACAGTGCAATCATCATGGCGCTGTAAAGAGGTAGAACCATGGCACAAAGTCGCCAGCTTCGACCCCGGCCACCGTCTGTGAAGCACTGCAGCTTTCCAGCCAGGTAGAAGGAGGTGAACCCGAGTCCAGAGAATGCAACTGGAAAGCAGAAAGAGACCGACGTCCAGCAGATCAACAGCTGTTCCAGAAAAGTTAAAGCACTGACCAAGTTTCAGTGTATTAGTAATGGAAAGTCATATGTATGCTGGTGAAAGATATTTCAAAATCATTAGTGTTTTTTGTAACTGCAGGTAATCTAGCAGCAGGAGAGTAATCATGTTAGGTCTTTGGTCCTAAACTAAGGCTGCAGGTTTCTAACTGAAGGTGTGATCAGTGTGCATACCAAATCATAAAATGTTCTTAAAGACCGTGCCAAGCGCAAGGATTTGTAAACATTTAATCAATTACATCGGCCCGCAGCTCACCGCTGCACATGGGAGCCAATACTGAGATTTCACAGCTCTGTGCTACATGACTGTGAATGGACAGCAGGCCTGCACATTAACCAACATCTGCTGGGAAGTAGAAGAGGAACAGGGGAAGTCTAATTGTGGGAATTAAAGGTTGAACAGTGGAACCATTTGAGTTTCTGCTGAAGCAAAGCGATTTGATGCTGCAGCAAAGCAAACAGCCGGCACATTTGTCACTCAACTAACAAGCTGGCAGAACCTATGACAGAACAAGAGCTCTCAGAAAAGAGTGGAGAGCAGGGAAACAAAGTCAAACTGCCTCCAGGGCTCTTCTGTTTGGGAACTGATCCAATAAAAACTGTTCTGTTCAGATTGGAACCAGAAAGAATCATTCAGACATCTGATAAGGGATTCACTTGATCTAAGTAGTTTGGTTCTTATATGAACCAAATTTCTTGAAAATAGTTAAAATGCATTCAAATGTAAACCTCAAATGGTTTGCAAAATTATTTATATGCAAACTTGGTTAGTTTGTCATGAGCCATGAGGGCCAAACAGGAAACTTGGTGAGATAAGATCAAAATGAAACCGTTTAACATCAGTGCAAAATGGTAATCATGGTGGAAAACAGCCCTCCACATCCTGACCAGTGAAACAAGTACATTTATTTTTTGTGGTGTAGTTAGTGAGAGTGAAATGTAAACTTAATGGGTGCCTTAATTTTCAAATTAAGTCTTGTAATTACATAAAAATCCACATTTTATTGCTGGCACAGTAAATCTCTAAAACCTAAATTGTAGAAGAAATAGTTCAGCTAAAATCAACCCAAATGTGTCCATCTCTCGTTTTTATATGAGAATTGCTCTCTAGCTTTATGCTAAGGCAAATGGCTTGTTAATCCTCCTCCTCCTCTTCATCATCATCATCATCATCAGATCTTGCTCTTCCAGGAAAATAAAGGATTTATGAATCATTTTGTTTCAGTAGCACTTCCACTCCTTCATCCATCCACTTCTCTCCAGCTCATTGCTGGAGGCAACATGGGAATTTGTGTCTTGCCCAAGGACATTTCAGCATGTAGTGGAACTAGTTCATTTTTTTATTAAACGTCACAGTTACAAATGGTAATTTCTTCCTGAAGCCTGCGACCAAATGGGAGTTTATGTGACTGAATTCCTCAACAGCAGCAACAACAGAACGAATAATTTATGAGTGGAAATTCTGCTGCAGATAAAGTTAATTAACATTTTCATTTTGGAGAAAGCTACACACAATCCACACAGATTAACTGATGTTTCTTAGAGACTAACCTTTACTTTAAAGTTCCTGAGTCGGAGCATCCCTCGGTGCCCATCCATCTCACTTTCAGGTGATTCCTTCACATTCCAAACCTCACCGCAGCCCACACTATTTGTCTTTTTGGCTCTAAACAAAGCTCAGGCAATTTAATTTGTCCTTTAGGAGGACAGAGTTACATTTTCCTGGAAACTTATTCAGTCCCACACTGAACATTTTAACTTTTACTTCCATCAAGTAATTTACTTTAAACGTAGAAGTTGTAATGTGGCAGTATTGTTCGGGTACGTAGTGTCATTTTATTGCAGAATAAAGTAACTCTGTCATGTTAAATGGTAAAAAAACATGCTTTTTATGTATGATATGACTTAACAAAAGTCATACTTGAAGTCCAGGCGTTCAATTACCCAATTTCAAGGTAATTTAACTCCTTCATATTGTGAAAGTGTCTTTAAAAACTCCAGCTCTGTCTGAAACTCCAACATCAGGAACAACATTTTTACTGGTGTTTCACTGAGAAGTAGCTGATAAAAAGTTCCACCAGCTGTTTGCTAATCGTAACTGGCGAGTCTGAAGGAGCTGAGTGGAGAAGTCGCAGGGAAGGAGTTGTGCCTCAGGGGCGGAGCTATGTCCACCCAGAGCTATGTCCATGCCCAAAAGAACGAAAACAACCAGGTACTTTTTTGATGGAGTAACTTTATAACAAAGCTCAAAACAATCAGTTTTCTAAAGAACCTTTGCAGAATTTATTTTTATAAAACTGGAACAGAACATAAAAATGTATTACAGCTACAGATGCTAGCAAACTATTACATCATACTCTCTGTGCTTCTTTGACTAACATGCAATAAGTTTCAGTTGAAAACCAACATATGAAAAAGTTTATTTTATCAAGTGAGGTGTATAACTGTAAGAGAAAATAAAGTGAAGAGTTTATTGAAAGTCGTTTTAAGGCGACAGCAGCCCCTGCATCCCTGAATAATCGAAGATGGATGGAAGAATGGGAAGAAAAATGCAACATGACAACAGAGAGAAACAGTCTGGCTCATTGTTCAACTCTTTCCTTCTCCTTCCAGAACCGTCCGGAGCCCATATGTTTACCAGAACAATCAGTGGAACTGGAAGTGATCAGGAGGATTAGTCAAACACTCGGGATGCGTTATGCCCGAGTGGGGACATCAAGTATCCATCCTGCTCTCACTTTGCATAAAGAAACCCATAAACAAGCTTCTACATGTGAAATTTGTATAGTTATCTAAGTGAATGAGTAACGCAATGAGGCGAATCTACGAACGACTACAGGATGGTCCTCCAGAGGCAGCAGAGAAGAACAACAGCATAAAACATCTTGATAATAAATCAGCTGCATGTTTCTTACACAAACTCCCTGAGAGACAAAGAACAAATTCAGACAAGCAGAATAATCAGAGGTGATTCACTTTGCACCTTTTTTTTTTATTTCTATCTTTTTTTACAAATACAATGTTTGTTTTGAGGTTTCCAGTGAAGGTTAAGGTATCACCTTTACCTGTTTCTGCATCTCCATAATGAGAACCAAACTGCCATGATGCAAAAAAAGTGAATCATTTTTGTAAAATTCACAAATTTTGATGAAGCTCAAAAGACTAATATTAGTTCATATGCTTTTCTAATGTATAACTTTGCGACAAAGCTGTCAGTTTTAATCCCACTGTAAAGACTGAGAAGCTAAACAAAGTGCATTATCATGCTTTCCATCCCTTGGTCTCTGCCATCCTCTCCCTGCTGCTCTGATCTTTGACCTTTATCATGACCTGTGGGATATCTTTGCTGTCTCCCACCAGAAAAGCTGCATATTAAACGACCACTTAGTGCCTGAGGGCTGATCCTCCTAACAGCACATAACAGAAAATATGTATTAGCATTAGATTAAAACCACTTTGCTGTGCGTCTGAACTGTCAGCAACATAAAAAGAGGACCTGAATTCTCTCTGGGAACTAATATGATGACAGACGTTTTAATCTATGAAGGAGGCGGATTCAGAAAAATAATCTGGTCAAACATTAAAGAGTATGCTCATGCTAAAGATGACATTTATCACTAGAGTCTATCCAGTAGTAACATCGTTGGGTTTTTATGCACAAAGGAAAAAGGTAAATTGAATATGAATGGGATGTGAAGCGCGCTTCAGGACCTGTTTGCGCTCGGTGCTGTTTGCAGGGTGCAGTGGGTTTAGTGGTATTTATTGGTTTGTTTTTCTCTTTTAGGAGAACGCCACAACGAATTCCTGTTATTTAGCTCGCTTCAGAGAGGTGGGGGAATCTAATCAAGAACAAGGGAGAAACTGTCAAATGGAGTGGAAACAGCTCAGGCGTTTAAAAGCTATCAGGACTCCAGCTTCTCATACACGTCTAAAGGTTCTGTATCTATTATTGATAACTTTATAAAATGTCTGGTGATGCACATAAAACAAACCGTCTAAAAAGGTGAAAAACAAACCAAAAAAAGCAGAAGATAGACGCTCATATATTTAAAAGTAAATTAAACAATCATAGCCCCTATTAAAAACAAACAATATTTTAAGTATTAAATAGGAGATAAATAAAAGCTCTTAAAATGAAAATTTTATTGCATAAAACTAAGTGGTTCAGTTCAAGGTAACTGAATATAATCCTGAATTAAATATTTTCTAAGTAAAATTTTGTTTATGTAAGCCATTCTCTATAATATAGCAAAGACAAAATAAAACAATAATATTAAAACCTGTTGAATAAACAAAGAGCCAGGAAAGAGGAGCAGCGATGGAAAACATGGATGGATGTTTATGACCCGGCAGCCACATCTCAGGCTTCACATCTAATCAATCTGAATTTTGTACCACAAACAAGAAAAAGTGTATAAAAATAAAATATCCTTGAATCTAATGCTGAGCTGCAAACATTCAAACTACATTCAGTTTTTTTATGTGCTCCTTGTACCTTTTTAAATCTCTTTGGGGAATAAATTGAAGTACTTTTGTTCTGTAGATATGATCTGTGATTTTCAACTTGTTGCTCAGACTCTAATCCAGATTCAGACCTGCAGAGAGTCGTCTCTATCTGCTGTTTCTACTGGGAGCCACTGAGCGCCTCAGAGCTTCCATGCTTATAGAGGACTTTAACTTTAACATGAAATCTGACTGAAAGTGCTTCAAAACTCAATCAAAACTCTAAATGGGAAAGGCATCTGATGTCTGAGTGTGTTATTGTTACACATGTTTGATCTGACGCTGCTGTAAAGAGGTTTATGGCCGTCACACCCAAACCGTGATGCTAGCAAATCACAAATCATGCAGCAAAAGGCAACTTCTTTCTACCTGAACGTTCTGCCTGATTGTTCTGTTATCTGTGGATGAGCATGGACAAAACAAACTATTCCAGTTAAAAATCACTCTGTCACAGTAAAGACAGCAAACCGGGAGATTTATTTCTCTAAAGATTTTGTTCAAAATAGGCAGAACTCTGTATACATGTAATATTAATGGGAAAGGCTTCAAAGTAAAGATACAAATCATTCTGTTTATGTTTGAGTTCAAACAGCTAAAACAATTCAGCTGCTAATCAGGTAGAAAATGAACTATTCTGATCCAGCAGTGCTTGATATTTTTGATAAGATTGTAGATTAAATAAAGTCATTTTGTCTGGTTTGTCTCTGAGATGACAATAAAACTGAAATTTAAAAAACCAAGATCTTGAGCTCCATTTTTACCAGTTTGTATTTAGGGCCATCTCCGTTGCATTGGCCAGATCCTTGAAGACTGGTGCTGGATTGGGGACAAGATACCTGAATTATCTCATTTTTAAGTTTAAATGCAATTAGATGGGGAACAAGGTTTGTTCACATTATACACACCAAACCCAAAAACACTAAATATTTCAGAAAAGCGTGTTGATTTCAATTCAACGCCATATTTCAAGTTATTTGTGCAAATTTGAGTAAACCCAAAACAACACTGTAATACACAACATGGTGTCCACTGCACTCTGCACCATCTGCATGGACGACATCAAACAATCCAAGTGAGCCTTTCTCCTGTCGCCTCCTTTACCCCAGAAGAAACGTGAATTATTGAGCTGAGGTGGAACGCTTCGCTATGTTGTTTGGCCCAAAATGGCCAGCAATCCTCCCTGCTTCATGTCGCTGAGCACAGCAGGAAGTCAGATGAAGGTGAAGCACTGAGCGTGTTATCATCTGTCACATATGTCAGGAGTGAAATATGCTGGACTCATTCATGACTTGCTTCCTCAGGTCTGCATATTACATCCTTGGCAACAATAAAAAATATCTTGAGCACAATCTGTCAGCACGGCGGCATTTCTTATTAGCTCACTGAAACGCTACTGTTCACAGTTTTAATAAGGTGGCGTGAGAGCTGTGACATGGTTGCATTTTGTTTTGCAGTTGCCAGCAGTGATTTCTTTACTCACAGGAGGAATGGCTGCTGGGGAAGCTTTTACGTCCTTCAGACACCATCTCTGGCTCGCCGGTGCACATCATCTTTGCATTCATTTGACCATCTGGGAAACAGCGCTGGAAGAAATCTGGCCTTGGTCTGAAATATTACAGTTTTCATGTTATTATCATATAGTGGATGAAAAGCAGCTACTGATGGCGCCGGGAAGCGACTTGTTCAGCATACCTGCCAACAATCAGCTTGATGGTATTTGTGAAAACCCCATTTAATGCGAGTGCCAAGGACACAGCTGAGGAAAGACAGAACAAATATTTAAAGAAATCTTACATAGTCTCATTTTTGAAAGTTATGTAGTTGTACAAACCTCAGTCACAGGTTTATACAGGTTCTGTTCAGTTTTTCACACTTTGTACAAACATAATGGCCACATTTTTTCATTTAGGTAAAATCAGATCTAATCATTTAGAAGTTCAGAGTCCAGGCCTGCAGAAATCAATCGCTTCTCAATAACCAAAGCGAAGCATAGAAAACACTAAAGCGTTGATACATCTGAGGAACAAAGAGACATTTTCACCCACAGAAATCAACACAATGCATTTAGGACTGAAAATGGAGTTTTATTATTTTACAGCTGTTCAGTTTTTCCTGAAAAAATAAACCAAACTTTGTCATGACAACAGATTATTTAGTTGTTGTTTTTTTATGGCTTGCTTCACTGGTAATAACTGAGGGAAATTTAATGAGTGAACAAAATTGTCTCCTTTTAATGGTTATAGCCAGCACTAATAATCCACATGCTTCAAAAAAAGCATCACATTTATGCCTTGTTTTCATTTTCAGTTATGAATCTCCTCTAACAATCCCACAGATATTGTCAGTTGAAATCTAATCAACAAACACCCATCTGTTCTCCAAAATTGTCTGATATTGTTAGAGAAACAAAGTGTGTTCCTTGAGATAACAAATTCATCCGTCTTGTTTAAAGAAAACACCAAAAGTCGATACCTTGTGAAAAGGAGACGCGTCGACTCATTATCACAAGAAAAGCAGCTTGAGATTTCTGTGGTGTCAGATTCCCTCTATTGGTTCATCACTCTGTGTGTGATGTGTGTGATCTTCACCCCACATCGCTCTGCACAAACTTTCTCACCGGTTTGCATCAACTTTTTTAGGGCACTGCATCAAATCTAAATAGGTTTCTATCAGATCATGAAATCTCATCACTCTGTCATTTAAAAAAACACTTTGTTCTCTTGCTTGGGATGTTTGTCTTCTTTATGTTCAAAGTATTTCTGTTTCTGTGCAACAAATCCCCATCAAAGGCAGACGACTCTGAATCTTGTCACTCTGGTCTGGTTGGAGGTAAAGTTGGCTAAAGGCTCAGAGAGCGTGTCGAAGAAAGTAAACTCTCCTTCAACTCTGAGACAAACGTATTAAATAAGCACAATGACAAAAGCTGTGAGAAACTATACACTGTTGCTTCCATGATATTTAAAATGTAAAATTATTACATTTAACAACAGCAAGTGTGACCATTTCTCTAAAAGTAGATTTTTTATTATTCTGTTAATATTTGCATTACAATAAATTCATGTTGGATGGAACATCTGAAAATTTACAAAACTCTTATTGCAGCTCAAACATTTAGAGAATGGCAAATTACAAAGTAGGAGAGTTTTAAACAAATCATTATTCAATCATTGAAAACATGGATTTTAAGGCAATAAAGCATTAAACTCCTGCACTACATCACAACCCACGCAGCTTAAAAGAGAGAAAACATGGAGGGGATTTCCCTGAAGAAGTGGATTCTGACTGTGAAAGAAATAAATGGCTCATTGTGATGGGAGAGAGGAAATGTAATGCTGGTTAAGATAGGTCAGAGTTGCACTGAAACTGAATTTCACTTAATTATCTATGAAGGAGACCAGTGGGTCTCATAATTAGAGGAGAGTACCTGGCCCTGCAGGTCACTCCCAGTGGACTTTAGTTCGTCCTGTCAGAGTAAATCCAAGAGTTCATTGATATTTATTCAAATGAGTTCTGATGATTTTCTCTCCTTTTTAAGTGACTTTACAAATATCCAGCCTTCAGTTACTTTCTATTGCACTATAATGCATTGGGGAATTTTGCTGGACAAAACTAATAGTAGTCACAATTAACCTGACAAAACAGTTTCCCTTCATGGTTGCAGTGCTGCGGACGTCATTGGATCTGCTGGTCATGTGAGCATTTGACAGTCTGTGAGCTTGGTTTCATCCTGGTGACTGAGAACCATGCAGTAGTTGAACAGTTTTAAACTAAAAATGAATCCTCCTAAATTGCTTCCTGGTTCCAAAGCTTTTTATAATTGTCTGCAAACAACAGAGTTGAAGAGAAACTGGAGTAATCGGCCCGGTCATGAAGCCAGACATCCAAACATCTGATGCATTCATCTTCACAATGTTTTCCAACTTCATTAATCTGTCTGAGAAAATGATGTGTGTCACATTCAGATTGAGTCGACTCAGTCAGTCCATCCATCCATGCTTTGTTTTAATGAAAAAGTAAATATTCCATGTCAGCAATTTTGACATATTTTCCTCATTATCCATGGCAGGACATGTTTTACTTTTCATATTTTGTTAGTCTTTGCAATCATAGTAACATTTACAGTTTGCCTGAAGCATCTAATGAACAGTGCAAACATTTTCTTGCTGTCAGGTGCTTCCAGTCGGTCTGCAGGTGAGCATGATGAGGGTTTGCTATTCTTCTCAGCAGCATTCAGGATTCACTCAGCTTTTCTCCAACATTCACAGCGGTTGAGTCTCATCAGGCTTCTCACTCCTGTTACTTTGACTCCGTTCATCTCATCTGCACTGAGCTCAGTGAAGAGCTGGTGGATGTAGGAGTCAGATAATCTGTTCCAGGCTTCTGATCAGGAGGCCCCTGCGAAGAGCCGCATTATATTTTAAAATCAGGCAGTGGGAACCTTTTGGAAGTATTGCATTAATCATATCCTATGTCCTCCTTTCTATCTGGTTCATCAGTGCTTCCAGGACTGACTGTGATATACTGAATGGAGCAGCATCAGTAACCCTTGGCTGTCTGTTCACTGCTGTTCCCTCCATGAACCACTTCTGGTAAACTTTGACCTCTGGAGACTTGCTACATCCCACTAGAGCTGCATTATTCAGATCCAGTCATTCAGCCGACACAATTTCAAACTTGGAAAACTTCTGAATCCTGACTCATTTTTCCTGATCAAAAAAACAAAAACAAAAACAGAATGAATGAAGAATATGTAAATCAAGAAAGGTTTTATGAAAATAAAGTTGTAGAATTGAAAAGACCACAAATCCTCCTCACATAAACTGAGTAGTGACATCGCTGCATGCTCTGTGATGTCACATTACCAGGATGAAAAAGTGTTTTAACTTTATCTTCACAATTAAAGCAAGCGCTCGGTTTTCATCTGTGACTCGTTCTCAGTGAGTCGTCTGGTGGGAAATATGACCCTCAGATGGCTCCATTATATTCTGACTCAGAGATAATCACGTAATTAAGCAGCGTGACTTCTGGAGTGATAAAAGATTATTAGACGACTTTTCAAAACGTTTTCCTTTCTACCCTGAAGTAGAATACTGAGCGTGGCAGAAAGCAATGTACCCCACAATATATGCCCATTTATCAGCAAAAGTAAAGAGCATAAACTTACCAGGCGTAATCTATTTAAACCTAATTATGTCCTGTAATCTTATTTGTGTTTCTGAAGTCGAGAGCCCTGGGGAAAGCTTTACCAAAGCGAAGCATTTGGAACTGCAATGTGAAAGCTTCTGACATGAAAAATTTATACATCTGTCAGGGTTTTAAAAATAAACAACTTTACACCAATCTGAACAATTAATTGAATATTTCTCTGTCTCATTATAGAGATAATTTCTTAATGCCATCCTCAGAACTCTGATCTGTCTGACATCTGTCATAAAATGCAGAATAGTCTTCCTCCCTGTAATTCTTTGAGTTCCTGTGTTTTCTAAACCGGTTTGTAAAAGTCCTTCTCTGCAGGCGGCGAGGGGCTCGTTAAATTCTCCACTGCAATGTAATCTCTGCTGCACTGAGACACTCGCTTTCCACCTGATTCATCACTGTGTCTCTCTTTAATTGGATTTGTGTTAAACTTTCTTAATGGCTTGCAGCGCCGATGCCTTTTTCTGGCACTCGACCTCAAGGGAAAGTAGGAAAAAATGTGAAACCACCGGGTTCTGATAGAGAATGAAAGAAGATGCTTTAAATTGATAATAAGTAAATACTTGACTAAGAACAATATTCATGGTGGCATATTGACAGACACAAGAGGTCACAGAGTTTAAAGATCAGCACCATTAAGCCTAATGAACTCCTTATATTTGGCTAGATTGCTTCAGGCAGAGGAAGGAAAAAGATATTGAGCTGAAAGAAATGCTAACAAAATTTGTTCTTGCTCAAGCATAAAAAATCTAATATAGCATAGGCAGAACTTTTTGCATAATAAATATGCTGTAACAATTACAGGCCAAATCATTCACATTCCAAGGCTTTTAAATTTCAGGTGAATTTAGCAAGAAATGCATTCAGGAAAAACATTTTGTTGTCATGCAATCATCAAAAAGAAAAACATTTTCAGCACTTTAATTATGAGAACTGAAGGGAAGATTTTCTCGCACCTAAACATGCCTCCTTTATCTCCGTCTTGTCCGTTCTCTGAATTATCTTCACCACGAATATCACTGCCAGTGGGGTAAGGAAGGAAATTGCCTGTAAGGAAATAAGACACAGCAACACAATGGTAATAATTATAGTGATATTCGAGGCCCAGGGGATTTATTAAACACAAAAACACTCCTGCATTAACTTGTGACATGAACCTGTCAAACTGAAAAGCCCAACAACTTGTTTGATTGTTCACTGGGTCTTCCAAGCAGTACTCAGAGTTTCTATCTAATTTGATAGGAGATTTGAGCTCCCTCTGCTCAGAGGTAATAACTGTTGCCACAGAATGTATTAATTAAATCCAGGATGAAATTGTTTTATATTTCTGCCCTAAGCAGCAACTGATTTAGAGACAGGATTCTCCAAATCTTCATGGCTTTAAAACAGAAACTGCAGTGTGTGGTGGAAATTACAGCCAAGTACAGTAACCAGAGTCACATTCACCCAGAGAATGTGACTCATTTACACACCGATATGCAGATCGCAGGCAATTTGGGGTTAAGTGCCTTGCCCAGAGGGACATCGACAGGAGAGGAAGCTGGAATCGAACCTACAACCTTCCGATCGCAAGACGATTACTCTACCATACAGCCACAGTCGCCCTGCAGAAAATCTTTATTGAAACTTGTAAAATACAGTCGGTGTTTATTTAAAACGATGTGACCTTATAGCTAAATGTAAGTTTATTAAATCCATTAGTGAAGCAGTAATTACCTGCTGGTTGTGAAATCTCATTAGTGAAGCAGAGCTTTCCATTGGTAGTGATCATTATGTGTTTAGCAGAAATATTAGGATTTCTATATTCACAAACTGTTTACAACATTTAAAAGCAACATAATGGCTAAAATATTCCTGCAGTGTTGCATGTATTTACAGAACTAAACGAAAAACCTCCTGCCACTTCTCACACATGGAATATGCAGGAGTGACACCTGCAGCCGACCTCCAGCTTCAACAGCACTCATTCTAATAAAGGTCACAGTGAGCCGTACTGTAGCATCATGTAAATGTTATTCATGCACTCATAGGAACAGCCAGATAACTTCTGCAGACCTTCAGGGCTGCTGTCAGAGTGGAAGTACTAGAAAATGTCTGAGAGGATGGATTATTTTCCCAGAAGACACGCAGCCAGGGAATAAGAGACTTTCTCTCAAATCCCAAGTGATAGAAATCTTTTTCCCAAAGATTTATTGATACCCCAGCTAATACAATCTGTCAATTTCCCTTTAAGGCTCAAAGGAGAACTGTCAAAGGAGAATTGTCAGCTTGCAGAATTTGGCACTCATGTTTCTGGACTGACTGCCAGAACTATAAATAACTAATGCATTTTAAAATGCTTTCAAAATTACCCATCAAGTTGATCTAGTAATTAGTCACTTTGAGCTCCACAAAACGGATTGTAATTATGCTTTGACCTCTTTACTCACGCGATGCTGGTTTGTCTGGCAGAAACGCTTCCAGACAAACATGCAAATACTAGATCCTAACTGGTAAACATCCTTTTTTTAATGTAGAAAGTATTTTAAATACTAAGCTGTCATATGTCTGCTTGACATGACTTCCTGTCACCTCAGCAGTTTAAATGCATCATGTGAGTGAAGAGTGAGGAGTTCAGGGATCCAAGAGGCTCAAATTCAAACACATCACAATGAAAAGAGACAAATATGCAGCTGGATGGTTGTTTTACTTTTTTTTTATTTTAGCACAATATCAGGTAAAATCCAGCACAACGAGACACTTCCTTCACAAGAGCTGAAATATCCAACATCACATTTAAATAGACATTTTCACTTGAATAGAGGAAGAAAACCTTTAGACTCCACAAAACTGAAAACACACAGCGGCTTGTTGCCTGGAGGCATTTTTGCCAGCTGTTACAAATTCACTTCACTGGGGAAAATGGTGTCTGACTAAAACTAAACATTTCATGCAATGTCACAATGACTGGCAGAAAACTAGACGTGAGCACACAAACAAGCTGGTGTGACAGTTGGAAGTCTCTCTTGTTTGTTAAAATATAGGATGACTTTTTATAAGCCTCATAAATTATAGCATTAATCAAAGCAGCAGTCAGGAGGCTACTGAGGCCTTTGGAGGAGCTGCAGAGATCTTCAGCTCAAGTGGAAGAATCTTGGAATGGAAATGGTAAAACTTGCCCAGAACCAAGACATTAACTTTTAGGTCTACAAACAGCTGGTTTCTGGAAAAATAACACAATGCACTGCAATTCTTATTGCACTTTTGAACTGCTGGATAAATGTTCTGTCTGTCTGTCTCTTAACACACTGTTCAAGTCATGAACCATGGTGGTGGCAGTGTCATGATGTGGGGATGATTATCTTCAGCATGGGCAGTAACACTGACGGCAGTGGAGACAGAGATAAAGGCAAGGAAATCCTGGAAAGCAGTGTCTGAATAAAAGATTGTAACTTTGAACCATCATGCATTTGACCTGCTGCCATTTTGAGTATTTGCGTTGAGTTGTCAGACGGTCTGTCCTTTCCTTCAGGCGGTAGAAGACTGGCTTTGTAATTGTCTCTATGTGTCTCTGAATATCCCAGCTCCTCACATGTTTGGGCCTGATCTGGGTGCATTAAAACTGTAAAAATACTTTCATTACCAATTAAAAGAAAGATAAGTGCTGTGGGAATCGTTCCCTGACTGCATGTGCTAAACAACACACAAACTCTTGAAATGAAAGTCAGTCTCTGAGCACCATAAATAAATAGATGCAATCATCAAAACAATTAGAGTAAATCTAAACATTCAGAGAAATATTCCTGTTTCTTTTGAGATGTGTAACGTACTTACAAACATGACCCTTTTAGGAATGTGGTCCGATTCAACCAGAGGATTCCTGTAGAGCCAAAGCTCCTCCGGTTGGATAACTCTCTCAAAGGGCTCCAAGAACTCCGTAAACCTGCAAAGAAGAACGCAGCAGAGTTTAGTTATCACCATGTAACGGTTTGGTTTTTAGCTGTTAAAACAAAAAAAGACCTTTCAGATATTATCTGTGCTCTGGTTGGATTCAGTGCCACACAGAAAAGGTTTCTTATCTTATTTTAATTTTTATTTTTTTGCTATCCAAGAAAAAGCTCAGGACTTTGCCTGACGTCCCCTGCTGTCTTCTCCCTCACTGAATGTGCAAGAACAAATTAGTATTCTGCTGCTTTCTCCGTCCCTCCGTTGCCACTCGGTGGTCTGTCCGACACAACCTTGCTCTTTGTCATTTTAACAAGGTCTTTTGTCACGATGGTCTAAAACAGTTCAATACCCTCCTCTCCTTTGAAAAGAGCTCCAAGATAACTCCAAGGGCTTTAAAGACAAAAGGCTTTGAATATGCTGAATATGGTGATTTAATGAGTTTTCTTCCTCAATAATGCAAACATCAGAGAGCATGTTGATGAATGTGTGCATTTTTTTCCTTTGTAGTTTCTTGGCAAGATTAAAAGTCAGAAAATGTTCAAACATTTATGAATAAAGAGCAATTATTTATGGTATGTTTTAAGAATCTAACTTTTGACTGTAGAGGTTGCCCTCCTTTTTTGAACTACATCAATCAGAATAAACTGGAATTATAACAAATGACTCTTGCTGTGTGATCTTAAACTTTGTGGAGCTACCTGGTTACATCAGCGTCAAGGTGTTTCTCAATTTGACCAGGAGATGTTGAACTTTGCGGACTTTTCACACATAATAAACATAAAAGCTGAAAATGCTTAAAATACCTGCAGACCTCTCTGGACCACTCAGGTCTATTTTGCAAACTCAGAATCAGAACTGATTGTGGAAAAGCAGTTTTCAGTTTCTGTTTTTAAAGCTGCAGAAATACTGAGTGTCTTTAATTGAAGGCTAAACACCCATTTAGAGCTGACTTTGATTAATAACTACTGCAGCATGATAAAGAGAGTCATGCCATGTTTTCCCTTACCTTGCTAATACAATGTAATGTTTTGAGATTGTTTGTTGTTTTATTTCCTCCTAATCGTGTAAAACACTTTTGCCTTGTTGTTTTCTACACAGATAAAATTACCTGACTTGCCTGTAATGACTTTGCAGAAACTTTGTGTCTTCATTCTCCTTTGTTTCTTTCTTGCACATTTTACAATATTTCTGGATTTCTGATATGGAAATTAATACGACAATTATGAGTTACAAAAACCTTAACAAAGCTGAAAGCAAAAACTTAGTAAATGTCTTGCAATATTAAATCATAAACAGCACAATTCAAAAAAAGTGAAGGCAGCTCCAATAACTTCATTGTTATTAAATGTGATATTACACAACGAGAAACTGGAATCAACAACTTGATAAATTCACAATTTATAAACAAAGCCAAACGGGATGAATAGTTTGAAAGCACAGCCTTTTGATTTTGGAAACTGAATTTGTTTTTTTTATCATAACTTTCAATAATTCATATACAAAAGAAGAATATATGTAAAATTAAATTCAAAAGAAAAATTTTCAAAAGTGGTTTACCATAAAATAAAAAATGTCTAAAACACATGATTACCTAATAAGTTAAATGTTAGGTTGAATTAAAGTAGTTGTAATTTTATAAATAAACTATGTATATAAAAAACACTCCAACCTCAAACTTCAGGACCAGCTGTGCAGGACACTGTGAGGATAAACTCAACTCCAATTATCCCAAACTTCAACATGTCCTTCATCGTTTCCAGTTGCTCTCTTGTCAGTAAATCTAATTCTGTAAAATAAACCATTAGCATTTGGCTAAACAGTTTGAGACTCCTTTAGTTCTCTCCAAAGTGATTGTTGAACAGAATATCTTGTTTTTCCTCTTCGTATGTTCCACCCAGCCACTCTCGCTGTGAGAAGTCAGCTTGACTTGAGGCTGTAAATATGAATTGTTGAAAATAACTATTGGTTGGTCTGCTGATAGCTACATGTCAAGATGTCGCTACAAAGGAGAAGCCTTATGTTTCTGATTCAGCTCAGCGGTGTTGCCTTCTCTGAAGGGGCATGCATTAAATCCCACCCTGCTAACGACACGCCGCATGCTTCATGAAATAATCCAACTTTTTTTCTGTCATCACTGTCATGTTCAGGCATCAGCAGCTGAAAGAGTTATTTTGGTTCCTGGGGACTAATGCAGCGCAGACAGATAAAGTCAGCTCAGACCCCAACCTCAACTTTTAGGTCATTACATGCAGCAATGATCCACCTGTCAGCCTGGAAGGCTTATCTCACATCCAGCCCACATCCTAATTAGTTTGAGACACACACACACACACACACACACACACACACACACACACACACACACACACACACACACACACACACACACACACACACACACACACACACACACACACACACACACACTCCCCCGAGGTCTCAGCAGCAGGCAGATCATTTTTACATGGGTGTTGTTGGACTGCATGGGATGTATGAGTTTATTTATAATGGATATTGGTGTCATTTTGTGTTATGTAATTGGAATGGCAGAGGCAGAGCAGCATCATCCAAAAATTGTGTGCTACACAAGTGAACATATTTACAATTGCAAAACATGCAGGAAAATATTTCACATGTTGAAGGTTTTTCCATGTGTTGCATATTATTACACATTATCATTTCTGCATGTGAAACATGGTGAAATGTTTCACATGTCACAGTTTCCATATTTGAAAGTTAATCCCATGTAAAGTGTTTATTCACATGTTGAAATATTGTTTTGTTTCCTATGTAGTTGCCTGATAAAACTTTTCATATGAGAAATTTGGTTAATTATTTGTCATGCAGAAGATATTACTAAGTTACTGCACTATAAATTTTTACATGTCAGAAACAATTTTCAGATTTTATTAAACCATAAAAAAAATATCCCAAATAATTTCCACATGTAAAACTTGTGTTTACCTTCACATGTAAAATGTTTTCCACATTTGTTTTTAAATACAACTTTTATATAAGTTATATTTCTATACTGATGTTCACAATGGTATCATGGGTTAAACTATGTTACTTCATAAAAACTCAAGTTTTTGTGAATTGTTCAAACACATAAGACAGTTGTAGGAATGTTTGTTAAAATTATATTCCCCTTTTGAAAGTTTTTGGAGAAATAGGTGTTGACCAACAACAATCGCAGGACAAAGTAAGAATATGAAATGAAAATAAAGTCGTCCATTTCATCAAAGTTCATGAAGCGGGTTGGTTTGTCCAGGAGTCGACAGCTGAGCTTAAAGTCTGTTGTGAAGCCGCGTTCAGAAGGAGGAGCAGTTTTCTGGTAATTAGCCTGTTGCGAGTTCAACGTCAGCATGAATGTTTGTGACAATTTACTGGGTGAATACGAATGAGACTCTGATTGTTAAAGCGCTGACTAGAGAAGCACTAATTGAGTTCAGTCCAATGCATTATGTATGACTTCAAAAGGAGCATCGCCAGTAATTCTCGGGGTTCCACACTGAAATGTTGGGTTTCACAATTTGTAGAATAGAAAGGTTGCCAACCATGTTTTCTGAGTGCAGAACCAGATTTGAATGTACGTCACATTTGATTTTTACATGTGAGATATAAAATGACATAATATGACTGTGATTAAGCACAATAAATATATATGTTAAATCCATAAAGACATAAAACAGGAACAGACAACACAGAATATCTTTGTTTTTTCAGGCCTTACAAAATATTTTCACCTTTTTGTGGCTGATCACTCTAATAAATCAAAATGAAAATCATTTTAGTCTAAAAGTCTTTTAATATTATGAAATGCGTGTCACATTAGTACCAAAGTCGCTGTTAAAAGCCTTGTCTTTTTATTCCAGCCATAACTTTTGCAGAAATAATGGTTTTCACTTTGACCGAGGAACATTTTAAGGGTCCAGGTCCAGCCACTGTTGCTTAAATTAATCTTTTAAGATGTCAAAGTTAAAAATGTGTTTCTTCATTCCTGGGTTTTTACTGAAATGAGGCTGAAAGGCAGACAGTAATGCATCAGTTGGAGAACAGATTTATTTTGTTTACATAATTACAACAGGAAAATGTTGATTGCAGTTCCATTAGTAGAGTCTGTAGAGGTAATAAGTTACACAGCATGTGTGTCAATTTTTCCTGCTGGGAAATAATTGTAATCATCCTAAGAAAGAGACAGACGTGGAGGAGCAGGCCGTGTTTTAGAAGCAGCAATTCACCCATTCAGAGCAACAACCATATGTAAAGGTTACAGATGGAAGAGATCCTCTCTGGGGGCTTTATGGCTTTTGTTTATGATATATTTGTTATTAAATTTGTCCCTGTATGTGGTGTAAACAGAAAGCTGTGAAAGCCAGTGTTACCTTAAGCTGTATACCCAGAGGGGAGCACAACTAAACACAGCAGAGCCGTGATAAAAGCTACTGCAGTGTGAAAATCCATCAGAGGGGGAACAGAAAAGGCTTTCCCTCAAAGGCAGACTAATCAGCCGCGTTGAGTCCACCATGTCGCCTACTGTTAGTTCATGTTGACTCTCTGTGAAACAGAGATGTGCTTTTCCTGGAATACATATGGTTCTGTCAGTCCTATTTGTAATGATTTCTGGAAATGTTCCAACAGCATCAGCCATTCCATATTACAAACAAAATACTTCATCTTTTTACTTTTTTAAGGATAATTAACTGGATTAAGTCATATATTTCATGAGATGCAGTGTTAAGTTACGGAACATGCACTAAGTGATTGCCAGCAACTGTGGTGTCCCACAGGGCTTAGTGTTGGGACCATTGCTAATTTATTAATGATTCAGCAGGATGTTGCTGATCAAGCGTATGTTGCCAGGTGTATGCAGACGATACAAAGGATGAGAAAAAACTGAAATGTTCACAAGTGGATCCCAATATATGTACATTTTGCTATACCCGAAATCGTTTATCACTGAATGTGATTAAAATATATTTTTTCAAGATAAAA